TTTTTTTTTTTTTTTTTAATTTACGCCGATGGTAAAAAACTTTTTACGATGGATCGATTTAATTTGGATTCCTCCCGGCATTCCCGAAATACTTATCCAACGGCGGGAGCGCGATGAAACGCGCCGCGAATTAACATGCGGATCGGGGAAGGGAACAAAGAAAGTCCCGTCGCTGCTAAAATAAAAAGTCAACGCAGATACCTCCGATCGATTCCCGAGAAGCCGCGAAGTCAATCACCCACGCGTTAAGTACACGTGAATTGGCGCGTACACGCGGGCATGAGCCGTTTATTGTATACGAAAATTACCGGAATTACCGTTGTTTTTACAAGCGCCGTAGTTTCATATTTTATTTTCGTTCGTACTTTTAAAAAAACAGGTGCCAAAACTTGCAACCAATGCCGAAGGCTGATTATTTTCTAGCACCGATGGTGAATAAATTATTTTGGAACTAGTAGTAATTTTTTTATTCGTTATCAAAGTGTGAAATTACATACCTGTACTGCAGTTTTTTTTTTTTTTTTTTTTTCAATTTTGAAATGATAAAATTTCCCAAGACAAAATTTGAAAGATTTCAAAAAAGCATTAATTTTACGTATTCATGAAATTCTCCGAATTTTTGGTGGTGTGCGTAAGATAAGCATCAGTGTCCCGAAGGTGTGCGTCGACATTTTTAATTTAGAAAGGCTTCGAACTGTAGTTTACACGCGGGATATTGCTCGTACACGTAATAAAACAAGACTCGAGGATTTTAATTACATTTCTGGACAATTATCTCGATCTTAAGTATACGGCGCGAGCATCTAAGTACACAAGATTCATAAATAAATGAAATTTACGTACTCGCAAGTGATTTCGATCGAGTAAATTATAACGTTACGCGTATTACGAGTATAATTTACAACGGTAAAAATGCTGCACTCGGGCACTGTTACCTTCTCGTGCGCTTACACACCAATACCTGCACATAAACTATTTATTCTAATGAGCTGATTCTTATCTCGGTCGGAGCTTGATTGTACACGGTTTTAATTTACGGTGGTTGCACATTGACAGATAAAATGGTTTAATCAATTTCAAAATCGTACGGCGATTTTTGTTTGCTTTCTAGTCCGTAAATTTTAAACTCATTGGTGTTTTGTTACTAAATCGAATGGTACATTCGTACGGTAGCCTTCGCATCACACAACTAGTTTGTACACACGTATGTACGATCCTCTGCATAAAAAGTAAGAGATCAAAAAGCTTGTAACGAGCAATTTTCCCTCTTAATAACAAGAAAAACTATAGATTTAAAAAAAAAAAAAGAAAAAAATCACTTCGAGAACGTGCGAGTCTTGTATGGACGTTGTACTTACTTTTGTAATTGAAAGAAGGGAAAAAAACGATTTGCTCTTCTGTGTTGTATACTCGAAGGCTATCGAGGCAAGCTTCGTCAATTCATTCATCAATTATACGTCCAACGCAATTACAATTTCATCCAATTTCATTTGAGGAGCGCAGAAGTGCTGTTGTAAATCAAGTGAATCGAGAAAAAAAAAACAAAGTTGGTTAACTACATTTTAAGGCAGTCATTCGGATAAGGAAAGAGATAAACTGTTGACTAGTGAGAGCAAGTTTTTTTTTTCCTCATCTTGTTAAGTCGTAATAGAATCGATTAAATTTTTGTATACATAATTTTATGGCTTTTGTAGATAATGTTATATAAAATTTCAAATTTTCAAGGATCGTTGTAATTACATTAATATTTTAATTTAGAGCCTAATAAATGTCGCTTAAACCGACAATTTAACGATTGCATCTGTTTATATAAAAAATTTATCGATTTATTGTGATAATCATTAATATTTCGAAAATTATCGCAATTGATTGACATTCTTATTCAGTTGATATTCAAAAACTTAATTCAAAAGTCCCGCCCTTGCTGGTATGAGTGGCGCGCGCGACTCAGACGTTTTATTTCTCTCTTTAGAACTTCGTGTTCTCAGCCTGTTATCGACTCTTGCATTGTGGAACAGCTTATGTTTGGCTAATCTATTTACATATTTTGCGTGCATAAAACTTAATAAAGAAAAATTCCGATCCGCTTGAAACTCAGTGATTTAAGTGTCGTAACCAACATTTTCAGTTTATATAGTCTCGTTAAAAGTTGTTGTGCTCAAATTAATCGATTAATGGTAAAAATGCCTGCACAACAAGCAAACTTACATTTGTAAATAAGTTGTAAAATGAAAGTTGACCGTTTGAGTGAACATTAATTTTGAATCATACTTAAGTACTTTTCAATTGTTGCAACTGATATGAGCTCAAAATGACTCTAACACCAGTAGATCTAGACTCGGATATATGTTTTTTGTTTGGTGAGTTTATTGTGTGTATCTGATTGTTTATTATTATTCTCTATTATTAAATAGTTTGCGTTTTACATGTATAACACTGCACAGAAATTGATGTTTTTAAATATTATATTTAAAAATCATGAATGTACAGCAAAGTTGCACGCTGTGAAAGATTGTTGTAATTGAGGTTATCTTTGTATGTTTCAAGTCAGTTGAACGATTTTTAATAGAAACTGAACGTTAGTTGTGTGATTTACAAAAATGTATACTTGCTCAAAAAAAATTGCCTCAATCATGATATTTTTATAACATTAATAATATGCAGCTGAAAGTCAATAATATGCGATGTACACAGATTACCGGATTAACCTCAAACGACCCTAATTGCTTATTGCTCGATGATTTGCTCTAATTTTTCATATTATGTCTTTGTTCTCCAGTCCTTAACGTCACTACTCATACTTTAAACATTTTTCCATCTTTTTTCTACTTTAACGAGTTTTGCTGTACAACAGCAATAAAAAAAGAATCACATCGTCCACAATACAATGCTGATTAATGTATGTACATATATATATGTACATGTATATGTAGTAGGTATAACCTCGAAAAATCGTAGCACGTAAACGTAACTTCATACGTCTAAGTCTAAAGTGTAAATATGTTATATATGTTTGTCATGTATAAAAATGATTGCATGTTAATTTATCTGTAGGAATAGTTAAATTGAACAAACTATTTGCAGAAAAAAATAAAAACGAGGATAAGGAGCCTCCCATATACTATACGGTAGAGTCGGATGATGATAATGGTTTGTAAAATAATTTTCCAAATTAGGAATACTGTTGAGATGTTGTTATTTTTTTATTATTATTTTTTCCAATTTTTTAACCCTTTTGTAGCAGGGCCTGCCGTTGTCAATGAGCAAAATATCTCCAAGAACCCTGCCTACGATTCAACAAACCATGAAAACAGTAACAGTAACTGTAGTACTAATGGTATGCGTCTATGTTTGAAAATAATCGCATTCGCTGTATTTTATTAAATTGTAAAATTTGGTGGAATTTTTTTCAAGTAGACGTATTCACTGCTAAAAACGTAAAATCCGAAGATGTTGGCAAAAACAGATATTCCTCGAGCGTGGATGAGGAGTACTTAAGTGACGACGATAGCGACGGCGCTGCGGGAGAATCGGACGACAATGCCGATGAATCCTTGGGCTACAAGTGTTAGTAAACTAAACATTTTTACTAATGTCGATGCACGTGACATTTTTGCTAGAAAATAATTTTTGCAGTTCCCTTCGAGTACTTGAGGCAGCACTGCAACAAGTGCAACAAGTTGATAACTCGGCACAAGAATCAGAGCCTAAAAAAGTGTATGACATGTGGGTCGCTGCTGCTCTTTGAGTGTGTGATATGCAAGCGAAGGTACAAGAAGAACAGCAACATCTTCAGTCATCTGAAGACGAAATACGACTGCAGGAACAAGCCAGACTTGCACTGCTCGATCTGCGACTACACAAACATTCACAAGGGCTTCATGAAGAATCACATGGAAAAGAGGCACGCGGGTGGCGTTGACGAGCTGATATCGTGCAGCAAATGTGGCAGGCATTTCAAACGAGCCTACAATGCCGAAGAGCATGAGCTATCGTGTGGTGGAGTGCCGTATCTCGAGTGCATGTACTGTGACTTCAAGACTACTTACAGGATCAGCTTTAAGGTGCACAAGTCCCAACACATCGTTAGTCCTGAGAACGGCGCTGCTCTGGTCAATGAGAATTTCGAGGTGGTCAGTGTCGACCCACTCATGGACAATCCCATCATTTGGACTCCAGGTATTTCAAGTTTAAACATCACTTGGTTCAGATCATTTTTAGTCTTCTATTGTCTTCTTATTTTAGGTTCATCGAAAGAAATAACAAATGAAATTAGAAAAAAGACCAACAGTCAGGATGAAACTGAAAATGTCCAAATTATTGATTTAAGTGAGTACGGTATCCCAATCAAATAAAACAACCGTCACAAAATGAACATAATGAACATAGAACATACAACAAGGTAAAATATTGCTTTTCAGTCTGCCGCAACATGATTAAGATGTACTGCTACAAGTGCAAAGAGACAACGATTATAAAAAACAAAAAGCACACCAAATGCTTAAAGTGTACAACTGAACTGCTACACCAGTGTGGCTTGTGCAACAGTAAGTTTGTCACCTATCATAATATACTGCGCCACTTCAAGGATCGTCATTCCAATGACAACATAAAGAATATCTATGTATGTGGCATCTGTGAGAAGAAGTACGACAGCTTCAAGAAGCTATCACGCCACGAGACCTTCTGCTCGCGAACTCTGCGTTGTGCCATGTGTCCCTTTACAGCCAAGATGCCCAATGTTCTGAAAAGGCATTGTCAGAAGTGGCATTTTGGACCGGACAAGAATTCACATCAGCCTTGCCTGAAGTGTGGGAGGCAAAAGAGGGCCTTCAAAAGTGTGAATTCAGATTTCTGTAGTAATTGCGCGTGAAGATGAATCATGTGATCAAGTAATTGTATTACTTGGAATTTTTGTTATCTAAATTCATGGATCAGTAGAAATATCGTGTTTTTCTAGCTGTTTTCATATTTTCTTTTTTTCTTAAACACTCTGTTAACCTCGATCTTTAGACTCTTGCTGCATTGGCAACTGTTGAATGCTAAATTTATGGTCACGTTAACTCAATTTTGTAAAACAATGTGATACGGATGATGTTCCAAACACAATTTGGTTCGATCGAAGGAAAGAAGATAATGCTTTACAATTCTTACACAATCAATGGTATTCGATGGCCAGATTTATATTAAAAAATTTCTGTTAACATTATCATCAATGATAAATACTAGAGCAAGGTCATGCACAGCTCATGATAAATATTTTTCCCTAAATGATGAGTGCCATTATAGATTTATTTAAAAACCATGTGAAAGACCAACAAGTACAATAAAACTTGAGCTCGTTAAACCAACAGCCATCCCTTTTTTTTTATCAACTGCAACTCGCAACTCTTAACCTTGCCCCTTCAAGTTCCCTTTGTTCGATTCGCCAAAAGAAAAATCCCGTCAAGTCGTGTTCACCCTGGGACGAGCAAAATAATATACACGTTGGGTACAAAACTCTACTGCCGAGCGCAAGGTGCAGATCGTTACCAAACAGGACGGCGCGAGCTCTTGCGCTTCCGTAAAATTGCAGGTCTGTCGAGCCATTTGACTTGTACGACTTCCGGCGCGTGCTCTTGCAAAAGTACTCCCGAAGAAAAGTACAGGTGAAAACAATACTTACCGATCTCTTGGACGATTTGCATGCCAGAAAAATCAAGGACTCGCTCGCTTGTGTTGGGTAGGTATAGATGATGTTTTCTTTTTCTTCCCCTAAATTTACGCTTTAAAGACCTTTGTATACCGAACACAGTACATTGACGCCTTTACGGGGTTGCAGGCTCACACGCACCATCCTTTAACCTTTCAGTCACGCTTAACCCCTCCATTCATGAACATTCCAGCGCGTGCGGTTGTTATGGAAAATTATCATGTATAAAAACAAGCTCGAGAGGAACAAGAGAATAAAACCTCCCCGGTAGCGGTAGAGGTAGTAGTTGTAACTTACATTACAGGGTGTATAGGTACACTTTGACGAATGATTCTCGTGTTTGTTTTTCCAACGCGGATAGGTATACTTACTTGATTATTCCCGCGAGCTGCGGAGCTTTAGTATTTCTTTCTTCTCTCCTGGCCTTAGGTACTTGCGTATGCGAGAACATAAAAGGAAACAAGGTGTGCACACACCTGTAGGTGATATACCCACGTATACGAGGTCGGTCGTGCTCAGGGTGTCGAGAACTGCAACGTTGGGGGTTTGCTGAAAAAGTGCGAAACTGCGGTAATTTTCACCACACGCGGTGATTGCTCTTCCCTCTGTCTCGACCTGTCCGATGTATTCTCTCTTTTTTGTGCAGCTCGTAGGAAATTGCTTGTTTGTTTAGGCTTTGTACCTGTAGGGGCGAGACGTACTTTGCAAGTAAATTTTCCTGATACCGATTTTTCATTTTTTTTTGTAGGTACATGTTTATATATTATAGTTGAAGGTTTTTTTCAACGAAACGATCGGAATGGCATAAATTTTCAATTAAAATCCATACAACTCTTTCTTTTCGATCCAAAAGTTCAAATGGTATATACCTTTTTCCTTTCGATGGACGATAAACCGGTACATTTGATAAATCGGATTAAATCGTTCGTTGCGCGTGTGATAAAATCAACAATGGGCGTAGGCGTCGCCATTTGTACTTTATTCGAGCAAATAAGTAATTCATCCAACGGACGCATTGCTTTCTGCGCGTATATCGAACGGAAGTTACGTGAAATTTAGCACCTGCGACTCGTTGCTACATATTTATATGTATGGATGCAGCGCGCGGTTAACGTATATGACTCATAAACACGGGCGAAAAAATATTTCGTGTCATTGGCTAATTAATTCCAAACCGAGCGTGTACAAGTGAATTAATTATACGCGCAGCGCTCGATTGTTGACGTGTGGAAGCGCACCTCTTGTCGAGTTTAATTTTAGCCGGAAATTCTGTATACGTTACGTATATGATGGATAAATTTGGTTGGGTGTAATGTATGATATCATCCGAAACGAATTAACGGTCTGCGCGTGCGATATTGAATTAAATGACTTTAGAGGTGAGCTATACGTGTAAGTACTATGCATATTATATAAGAAAAAATTTTGAAGGAAAAAGGCGCAAGTACGTAATAGGACTCTGTTTATTTACGGGGAATGCAAAACACACCTGCTGTATGAAATTTATATGGGTTAAAAAAAAAAGGGGGGGGGTTATATTGCGAATTATAAATGCATCTTACCTATGTGCGCTTCGGGGTGGATTTTGTCGTTAATAACTCAGTGATACTTGACAATATTTTCACGTAAACGAGGTAATGATAATTAATGCACGAATAATTATTTTAAATTGTTATTACACCTACAGTCATTCGCTCATATGATTACAAAACATCCTGAATATACTTTTCTTTAAAATACACATCATCGATGACTACGTGAGTGTATAACACATATGTACGCGGTAGTAGGTACGTACAACACGAGCTTCCAACATTTAGTCATTTCAATTTTTCTCGCCGATGTCTCTCTCCCGGTATTAAATTTTACGATGCATCAAGAGTCAAATTAGTGAGGAAAAACTCGTTTCTGAATCACATAACGTCAATACGTCCCTGTCTCTCGTCATAACTTTTTCCTTCTCCGTCTTCGGAATATAATACGTCCTCCGACGAAATTTTTTTACGATTATTAGTATACATAAGTTCGATATTTCGTGTATGATAGAAGGGACTTTCTTGTGCTTTTACACGTGTATCCCGATGATGGCTATAAAATACCCTTGACGACTATTAAACGTCGCTGTTACTTTTTTTTTTTTTTTTTAATTTACGCACTGCATGCATCGAATGCTCCTTCTACTTTTTTATCTTCTATCATTATCCTTCA